TGCACTTCTGTGCTACTTTGTCTTTTTCATTTCCATCTTTGTGTTTGCACAAACAGGTTTGATTTTCTTGTGACCATACGATTGCTGATTGTTAACTTTTTTGAGATTTGACTTCTTTGCTGTATTTTAATAAATATTTTCCAGTATTGATATCAAGTTTAAAATTTCAGGATCATGACAACCCTGGTGTATACCTCTGCATCCAAACATATAGCAGCATGGCGGTGGATAGCTGCAACCAGTGTGTATATGTGGATGGTGAATTGGGACTGCAGTAAGAGAGGAAGTTTGCTTAAAGAGAGAAAATGGGGAATAATTAAAAACACACCACCTTTATAGCGACGCGCTCAGCTTTACTGCCAACAAGCGTTTTATTGGTTAATAGCTTACAGAAGATAAAACGCAAACCTGAAAAGAAGCTAATGGTATGTCATGCTGACTCGACCGGTTCAAATCTGTTGCGTACTCGAAACCTCCTCTTTTGCATTCCTGGGTAATGACTAAGGCAACGAATATAACGTTTCTGTAGATCTGCATCTAACTGTTGAGGTGTTCTTTGATATGATGACGCTCATTCCTCTGAAAACACACACTGAGCAACAGAAAGAGGTAGACAGAGAGAAAGTTATTGATAGCAGTTGTTTATTGCGGCAATTTGTCAGTGCAAATAAACTGAGCCTCTACTCCGCCTTCCCCCTTTCCACCCACAGAAGCCTGACCCACTGCTGGAGCTGCTGATTAGCTCCATGCGTACGCCTCCATAACGGCACGCAGCCTCCTCTTAAAACACCACTCGCAAACTCATTACGTCAGCCTGGCATTCACCTCTGAGCTTTTTATCCATTTGCTTTCCATTATTTATATCCTGGCACTAAAGGTCAGGGCGGATGATGACTCTGAATGACGATATCAGAAAAGATGATTATAAGACTGGGAGCCGTGCGGGCCATGCACGTTAATCCTGCAGGGACATTCAAATCAGTGTGGAGGAGATCTCACAGGAGCTCTCTCCTCCAACTACAGCTTCTGGTTTTTATTCTTCTACTGTTTGCATCACTGCAGCTTCAGCTGGTGCAGCTCTTGCCCTTGTGTGGTTTTTCGTTTTTATGGAGTTAAGACTACAGAGCCGAAGGTGATGCTATCGGATGACCATCATCCCTGACCGCAGGGTAATGGCCACTCTCCATTTGCAAATTCAAAAGACATCCAGACATAAAGTGCTGAGAGTGTTCTGCACTGGGATGATTGTGTAATTTTATTTCATTTCACACTGCGCAATAGGTCTAATGCAATTCTTGTCACATTGTCTGATGACTCATGTCATGGGCATAAATACTTGTGCAAAACTTCCAGTTTAGTTAAAGTAAAAATCAACCCTTGTGATCTCTTGTTTTATTTGGAGCAGGAGCGAGTACAACTTCATGTTGTGGCAAATTCTTTTAACGCACAGCCTGAAAGCACTTTCAGGTATTTTTCTTATTCGCTGGTCTGTCTTAATCAAGTTTCAAATGAAACGATGTGATGAGTTCCTACTTTGAAATTACAGACACAAAGACGAAGCTCTCGAGTCGTCAAACAGATGCTGTTGTCTTCGATTTGCAGAAAATAACTTTAAAGTACCTTTGTGGGCCCTCCTTTCCAGTTTGATGTTTACATTGGACTCTACAAAGGTACCTTTGCATAGACCATGGTTCATAATAATCCTAGTTGGTTATCCTGGGCCTTGTTGCAGACACTCAGCTTGAAACAAGCTCACTTTCAGCCATCTTTCTTCTGATTGGCCACCTTTTGTACAGAAAAGGCTTGAACAGCTGGTTACTGGCTTGTTACCACAAGCTTCACTCACAAAGTCACACACATTCTGCAGTCCTGTCTTTGTAATCACCTTAAGACGGGGCAGCTCAAGGGTTCAGCATGTTGCCCAAGGATGCTTTGACATGTAGGCTGGAGGATTCAGTGTTGTATAAATAAAATTGCCATTGCCCCTGTGTCTTCTCCCTCGCCACACCGCCAGCAGGTCGTAGCAGATGTTTGCCCCTCCCCGAGCCTGGTCCTGCTGGATGTTTCTTTCTGTTAAAAGGGAGTTTTTCACACACCCACCTCATTTTGGGCAGGTTTAATGATTGTTAACTACTGTATGTGACAGCAAATAAGGAGAAGCACAAGAGGTGACATTTAAAAAGCAAAGCTTTTTGAATTTAAACATTGTTTGTTATTGCTTCCTTATTATATGATGCTTGCTGTCCATGGAGCATCACATCTAAACAATTCCTACACTCTTTTGTATCTTTACTGCTTTCTTTCTTGTATCACTTAGCATCCGTTTAAAGTTGTATCGTCACAGTTACCATCGTGTTCTGCAGAATAGCAGTAGCAGAAATTGTTGCGATTGCATTGCCAGTTATTACAGCCTAAGGATAAGAAGTAGTGGATAAACATCAACAAGATCAAAAATAAAAACAGATTTTGTATTCACGTGTTTGCATTTAAAAGTCTTTGTGTGTTGTAAAGACATCTGATAGGTCATTCAGAATGTAGGCAGTCGCACACAATAGCCCTAATGACCTACATAGTACATGTTTATTGTAAGTATTATAATGTAAACTAGTTAGCAGTCAACAGAAGGGGAAATAAAGAAGGTGTTGACAGTGTGATTGGAGCTAGAAAGATAAATGTGTGACACGGTTGTGTGTGGGCCTTGTGTACTCCACACATGCTTCATTTCCCCTCACAATTCAGACCATCAGTGTGAACTGCAGATGTTAATATTTGTGTCTCTATTATATCCACTGTAATAGTGATGTATCCAGTAAAACAAAACAAAAACCCCCACGCAGACAGATAAAGAATTCTGGAGCTGACTGACTCGACCTTATTGATTTAGTTTCTCTCTCTTTCTCTTTATCCAGACCTCCTAAACGGAGCCCAGGAGAAGTGCGAGCTGCCGCCTTTGGATGGTTTCCCTCACTGCGAGGGCAAGCTCAAGGTGAAGCAAACATGCAAACACACATTAAAAACAGGCCTCTCCATCCCACTCTCTGAGCACAGCTTTGAAAAGGAGGTTTGAAACATGTGAAAGACGAGCTACTGAAAGGAGAACTGCCTGCAGAAATTCATAGCGAACAGAAAAGAAAACAAATGACAGTGTAATCTACAAAACATAACCAGCACCTGGCTTATAGCTTTTACATGGACAGTGGACAAAAAGAGTTGATGCAAGGGCGTTAATTAGTTTATTAAATTGCATTAATATTCAAAATATAAAAATAAAAGGTGTAATTTTAGGGCCAATAAAACTCTGAGCTGCAGGTCTGAAGTTTGTTAGGTTGGACATTAATTAACATGCACACCATCATCACGCCTTATTTTCATCAGCACAAAAACTTTGCATCATAGCACAGGGCAGACCTTAAAATGCCGATATGCTCGCTTTTCTACATTGCAGCCATCACGTTCTCTTTTAAAGACTTACAGGCACAAACTCTTTAACACAAAAACTCATAAAGCTTCCAAGACGGCTGAGTAAAGGTACATTGTTTTTTGTTTGGGGTTTTTCTCACAGGTAAAGCAAAAAACATTGCGATTTCCGTAATGGAAACCAATGAGCAGCTCACTTTGAATATGACCTCTGTTTTTTCTCTTTTTTTATTATTTATTAATGCTCATTAATAAAACGAAAGTATTTCTTATTAGATTAATCGATTGAATAATCGATAGCTGCATTGTCGGTGAACCTGGTAACAAACTTTGAAACAAGCAGACGCGACACTAGTTTTATCCATAGTGGAGGTGTTTGCGTTACGTTTAATGTGATTCATGATGAATTTCAATAAAATCTATATTGCACATTTTTTGACCAATAGTGTAAGAAAAAAAAGATATATATATTTAAATCCTGATTGCACCTGTAACTACGTAATCTTTATTAATGTTCCTGTAGTATTTTTTTTTATTATTATTTAAAAGTAGCCTGTGGAGTATTCCTGTGAATACTCTCAGTGTTTCCTGCCAGATTATGGCCTTAAGAGGCACAGGTTACATTCTGCATACCTACCTGTGTGTTAATTTATGGGTGGCCCAGGTATTTGAGGTCAGTTAGTAATGATGCTGTTTTGATTGAAATGGTGATGCACTGAAGAACCATTTATGTAACCCACATGTCACACCGATCGCAACCGATTCCCTCAGCTTCTTTTCAGCACCACACAACATCAGTCATCTCATATATAATGAGCCTTGTAGTTTGTGTTCTACGTTTTTAATCTGTCATATGTTATAAACACGTTGCTGTTAACGAGGTAACGCTTCTGACTCGCTAACAAAAGGAGAGAAAACATACCTCAGAGCCTGTTTCTGTAAATTTGCCTGGATCACAAGATAGACTGGGATAACTGTTACTCAGGTCAACTCAGGTCTGGGAAACACTTTTGTTGCTCTGCATTTTTATTACAGGAAAAATCTGCAATGCAGCTTGAAGCTGGAAACACCCACACAGATTTAAAAGAGCACCACCGGCTCGTATTTCGAATAATTGTGAATGATTAATGAATGTTTTTTTAATAGTTGTTTGCATTAAATTACTCAGTGCATATATGTAGTCGTAATAAGATCTCTTATTACAAAAGTGCAGAGCCCCTAAAGTCCTGAAGGAGGATGCTTTTCATCTGGTGTGAACCTAATTATCTTGCCTGCACAGTCAGTGAAGCTAAAGCCTGATAAGCTGAGTTCTTTGCATTTTTTTGGTGACTGAGTGCAATTAAATCGGTTAATTAGTCAATTATCTGTTGTACACAGGACAGCTAAATATTATTTTCCAAGGCGTCCAACGACTTCAGACATATAACAAGTTTTAGTTTGAACTCAGGATGTTATGCAGTGAAGTTCATCTTTGTCTTAAATCCTTTGCACAAGATAACTTATATGTTATCTTATATGACGTATATACAGTGTGTTTAGATACCGGGCATAACATTATGACTGACAGGTGACATGAATAACTGATTATCTCTTCATCATAGCACCTGTTCATGGGGGCGATGTATTAGGGAGTGTTAGAAGCACAAACAACGGGCAACTGTAAGCATTTGAGCCAGTTTGACAAGGAGCCAAACTGTGATGGGTAGACGACCAGGTCTCAAAATCTGCAGCTTTTGTGGGGTGTTCCCAGTAAGAAATGGTCAGTATCTATCAAAAGTGGTCCAAGGAAGGAAAAGTTGTGAAAAACTGACAGGGTCATGGTCGGATCAAGCAGACGAGTTACTGTCGCTCAAATTGCTAAAAAAAACCCTAACGGCGGTTCTGATAGAAGACAGTCCCTATTATGGAAACGGTAATCCATGATCTTTCAGGGGGATAATGGGCCCTGCCGCAGAGCAAAGATGGTTCATGATGGTTTTAGGAACACAACAATGTGTGAGTAAGCTGTGAGGTGTGTGAAGTCTTTTGGCTCAGACGTCACACAGTTTGACTATTTTTGTTCACTCTTGACTCTGTATGACAACACCAAGAGATGATATCCCTAATATGGTCATCTCAGACACTCAGCCCGACCTGAGCACATTTACCCCCACCCACCTGCTGTTCAGACCTGTTTGCAAGTGGCAACCAATCAGAAGAAAGTTTGTTTAAATGACTTGTTTTAAACAGTGGATGAAATGAGGGGGCTGGACCAAAGTCCATCATAAAGCAAAAAAGGATCATTTCGAAGCAGAAGTCATGCATAGCTACTCTAGTACAGTCTGAGATTGAAGAGATGGAGCTGGGAATAAGAAAGTGCTTTCTATCTAGTTAATTCAGTCTGTGATGGCACACTGCTGCCTTCACTTTTAAACAACTAACACATCACTGTTGTTGTGAATGCATACTTCCCAAAACTCCTACATGACACTGCTGTACAGTACCTGCAGGCCGGATGAGCAGATGACAGCCAGGTTTAATTCTGGGGCAGACAGGTACTGGCAGACACAGGTGCATACACCTAAATAAAACACATAACACATGCTGTACATAAGCTTGTCCATTGTCTTGTTTTGTTTTTTGTCTGTGTGTTGGCGAGTCTGTGTCCCTCAAGCTGATGGGGGACTATCATACACACCATCTGCTCAGCCACTCCTAATCTTCCATTTGTACTGTTAGAATTTCCAACTTGGCCTGAGGAAATGCTAAAGCTTTCCTTACACATACACCATCTACACGAGTGCTGCACATGAACTCCTTTTTCCTTTCAGAAAAGGGATCAAAATTCAGTAAACTGGCATTTCACACGAGTAAAACATCTGAAAAATACATTTTCTCCTACTCACAGAACTCTTTTTGGTCATTGTTTAAAGTAACGCAATCTCTATGCATTTGCCTTCCAAACGACTCCGAGCCCATCTGCCAGTTCTCCCAACTATGAAGCGCTTTGAATAGTCGATTTTCTGTTTGCCAGTGCGCTGCTCCCTTAGGTTACTGCAAATCACCATGCATGACGTATTGGAGCCTACGAGCAGGATAGCTGTCAGTCCACATCTCAGCTCAGCAGCCCTTCCACTTCCACAGAAATGCCAGTGCCACAGAAATCTGCCCCCCGGACATCAAATTAGAAGAAGAGTTTCTCATCGCAGTCTGCATCCAGAGTCTCCATCAATCCCGGCTTTCCACACATTTTATTGAGGACATTCTACATTCTTCCATTTCAGTGAAGAATGACATTTTCACATTGAAGGATTTCCACTCAGTCACACATGAAAGTTGCCACTAGGGCTGCCACAAACGATTATTTTGATAGTCGACTAGTCACCAATTATTTTTGCGATTAGTCGACTAATCAGATCATGCATCCATTGGACGTAAAACTTATTGTACCAGCAGCATCTGCTCTTATATAACTATCATTAGCTTACAGCTTTAAGTGTTTAAGGTGCTAACTAAAAATAAAGACAAGTTGATGGTTTATTAAATTTTAATGAAATTTGCAGATTGTTTCGGTGAAGTTTAATAAACTCCTTGCTATCTAAAATATAACAGGACACCGGAGTATATTCTCGATTCATCTCACACTTCTGATAATCAGTTGTCTGCTTGACGTTTATTCAGCTGTGTAAAAACTATAACTTTAATCTCAGCCAAACCGATTTACTCAGGAACAAATAAAATACTAAAAAAAAGCCCAGCATAACATTTTTAAGTTATCTAAGTCACTTATATATGTTTAACCTGAGTAGCGAAAGACGGCGGTGGGTTTGAAGACGATTTGCCGGGAGTCCGGCGTTCTCACGGGCTCTAGTGAGCCTTGCCCCCAGCTAGCTATCGAGCTAGTGGGTGACAGACGTCTCCGAAAAAGTCGGAGCGCTTTTGAAAGTATTCTCGCCTGAAAATATGCTAAACGTTTATTTTGTGACCCAGAAAGAATAATCAGAGTAATATTAAGACTAACTAGCTGCCGCCATTGTTGGAAACTGAGCTGGGCTGCGCTATGAATTCTGGGACACAGCTTCTTCTTCTTCGGGGTTTAACGGCACCTGGCATCCTTGTACATGCACTGCTGCCATCTTCTGTTTCAGTCTGTTATTACACTCTTAAATCCTGCTACTTATTCCTGCGTCTTTTGTGATCTTACAAAGCTTCATACGACTCGTCGACTATTAAATCAGTCGTCGACGATTTTGATAGTCGACGTAATCGTGACTAGTCGACTAATCGTGGCAGCCCTAGTTGCCACAAAGTTAGTAAGGCTGCTCTCAAACATATCACCCTCTCATTCAGATACGATCACTGTAGTTTCAGCAGTGGAGGTCTTTTATATACAGTCTGTGGCTCTTACAATATACGTGTGACATTAAAGTTTATGTTGGGTCAGTATGCCCGTCTCACATTTGTCTTCTCCTCTTTCTCAGTGGATGAAGGAGATGTGGCGCTCTGACGGCTGCTACGCCAACTACGGCGTGGATGGATCCACCTGCTCCTTCTTCATCTACCTCAGCGAGGTAAATCCTTCTTTTTTGTGTTAATAAATGTAGATAAAAAAGACTGATTGTATTACATCGTCATGATTACTTTTCATGTGGTACAAAATCAACACGGCAAAAGCAGCACTGGTGTATGAGCGCCTGACCAGCATCTTAACAAGCTGGTTACTGTTTACCATTTATATACAGGCTTTGTGTTTATTGATGGCAGATACACCATTGGACCTCAGATACGCCACTGTTCTCTGTATGCTGCTAAGTGTCCGTCTCTGTGTGTCTGCATGTTTTCTCATTAGTTGGCTTTTATATATAACTGTCTCCTTTACTGGTTTCTTTTAATCTGCCTACCTTCAGATGTAAAAAGCAGAAATGAGTAGAAATCACCTTCATCCTCATATTATTTTATAAATGTTTGTTCACCGAGCAGAACAGTTTTAAATAAATACGCTGCTAAACATGGTGTAATTGTTTTAACTGGTTTCTTGTGTTAATTTTGGTCAGTTTTAAAGTTGAAGTAGATGCATATGAGCTGCATACTGTAATCATAATTGTTTCATTTCCTCATCGCCCAAGAGATTGTTACCTGGGTAAATAAAAAGAGTTTTCCTTTAAATGCAGTGCTTTTCTACCAACTATATAAAATGATAAATTAGTTACTCATTTTCCTGTCTTTAAAAAATACGTGAACCTATTTCCAGCCTTCTGTTTTTATTATTGGACTGTACCAGCATAGCTTGGCATGATTGACAGATCAAAATAATCCTTATTTAGTTTACATTGGCTCATGGCACAACCCCCCCAGTTCTTCCCATCTGAAACGGCACTAAAAATGATTTTTCAACCTCAGTAAACATGAAGCAATCATTTTTTTGTAAAATGTAACTGAAATATATAAAATCAAAGGCTTATTTGTTCAAGTACCTAATCATTAAGGAAAATGTGCTTGTTATAAACTGAATGTAAACCAATCAAGTAAGTTTTATTTTATATTGTGCTGGTATAACAAAATTA